CATCCCTTGACCAACATTGATCGTAAGCTGTCCACGTAAGCTGCCATTTCGGCAGTGCATACTCAATCAGCACTTGTTCTGCTTTGCAAAACAATAGAGTAGGGATGATTAGCAACGAAGTAAGCAAAGGTAATGAACAAGGTTTTGATAAGTATATATTAGGGACGTAAACAAATTATTAATAAAAAATATTTAAATTATATGAAAATTTAATACTTTGAAAGGGAAGACGGGTTGCTTCTGAGAACCTGAACCATGTAAAAGATTGTATAATGTTCTAGTTGAGTGAGTGCAAAGTTTTACGAATTTAGGCAATGATGCTCAACCACAAAATCAATGGTAGATCTAAAAGTGTTCAAGATTGAGATTCAAAGTGTTGATAATATTAATTAATTTTGTAGGATAAAGTATATAAATGGTTTCCCGGTTATAGATTGATGTTTTATTAAATCCTCTGACTATTAAAAGTTATAAAATTGTCACCCGACTATAGAGTTTTGCTCTGTTGAATTCCTCGACTATTAAAAGTTATAAAATGATCATTCGATTATTCAAACTCATCTTTTTCGTTAAAAATCTGATGGTGGCTGAGCTGAACGTTAATTTGCTCAATGTGATATGAGAAAATCTAATCATAGAATCTCAAACGTCTATCATATTTCACTCATCATTTTAATGTCCAACTTAGACTATAGTTAATTTTTTAATATAAAAAGAATAAGTTGGAACACGATGAATAATTTAATGACCATTTTGTAACTTTTAATATTTTAGCGATCCAACAAAGCAACACTCTATAATCGAAAGAACATTTTATAATTTTTAATAGACAATAAACTTAATAAAGTATTATCATATAGTCAGAGATCATTTATGTACTTGACCTTAATTTTTAAATGAATATACAAAAAAAATTCTCTTCCCTTTCAGAAATTAAAATACATTTAATATTTTTAAAAATAATAGATGTACAATTATCCTCATAGGGTTTCATACATTCGCCATTGCCACATGTCATTATGAAAGCTTTTTATTATATAAACAAAATTTGAGAAAAATATTTTTTTTTATTTAAAAAGGGTTTCCTGAATTCGTCACTTTCACAAACCCTATAAGATCATTAAGAAACTATAGTAGCTTTCCATTAGGTGAGTAAAATTTGAAAAAAATATTTTAAATTGTTTTAGTCTACTTCAATTTTCAGTTGAAATTTTGAGTTTGAATTGTGGAGTTCGAATAATTAAAAAATTAAAATTAAAATAATGCCATTTTTATATTTAACTAAGTAACTTGATTATTTTATTATTTGATTCTTAATTTTTTTTGTTTCTTTAATCAATATTTCATTTTAAGTTAATTTTGTTCAAATTGAGTGCATGCTCTTGAAACATACTATAATAATAATTTAATAGAAATTTCAATTTGTTATATTTTCAAAATAAAATAAAACAAATATTTTTAGTGTCATAATTTTAATATTTTATCTGACAATATTTTTATTTTTCAAATTAAAATTTAACTAGTAATATACGAAGGGTATGGATTGAATCCATAAACATTTTGTAAAATTTCATAATTTTATATTTTTTAAGATCGTTGTATGAGTTAAAATAGATGGTTGAAATTAATAAAAAAATGAGAATACGTTTATACAAAAAATAATAAAATAATATCAATCATTTATTTTTCATTAATCTAACGAAATAGATGAATAGATAGGTAGATAGAATGAATGAATGCATATATGAATAGTAATTAAAATATACATTTTATGTCTAATTATAAAAATATAAGTATTAATATAATGTTATATTTTATTTTTTAATAAGAAAATATATAATTCGGGTGAATAGGGGCTAGTCCTAGTTATGGAGGGCTGGGGCCCAAACTTCTAACCCGATAACAAATGGAGTGGGGCCTGTTTTCGTAAAAGCGAGTTTCTTGAGAGAAGGGAAAACGAAAACTTAATCATTATATAGCAGCAGATCATCTCTTTCGTCGTTCTTCTTCTTCTTCTTCTTCTTCGATTGATCGATCTATACCCTTGAATCAGAATGAATGTAAGATATTCCGTTAATTATATTTAAATACCCATTTTTTTCTTACTCTAGCTCTTCCCACTTCAAAAAATAGCACAGATTTTTTTGTACATTTTTTGCGCCTCTTTGTTGATGTTTGCCCCCTAATGCAGTTCATGGCTTCAAAACAACCTGAAAATAGCTTGCTCGGCCCCGAATCTGACTCTCAGAGGACTATGTATGTTATTTATCTGATTTCAATTGAACTAGGGTTTCCTTTTGATGTTAGGTATTTGAAAATTCTCCTCGTTTTCTTTAATTGATAGGTACCCATATGTGACTGGAACATCAGTTGTGGCTTTAAAGTATAAAGATGGAATTTTGATGGCTGCTGATATGGGAGGTTAGCTCATACACTGTAATGGGAAATTTGTTTTTCTTCTGGATTTTTGTCTGTTCGAGTTAGGTTTGTTATTTGAAGTAGATAATGCTCTTGGAAAAGGCATCCGAGTTGGGGGGTGGGGGATGTTTTGGCCCCTTTTGAGGTGATTTAGGATTTAAAAGATATCAACTAGAAGCAACCTTGATCCGAAGTCTTTCCTAACTTTTTGGATTGGGATAAGAAATTGAATTATGAAATGATCCTTTTCAACCCTTTGATGCTTAATGTAATGTTTTTTTCTTAAAAAAATAAAGATGGTTTCGATTAGAGTATTTGATTATTTCCAAATAGCTTAAGAATTGTAGCATATATTATTTGATAAGTAGCTTAACAGCTGTAGTACTTTTAACTCTTTCTCAAATCTCAACCCGTTGGTTGTAATTTGTGATGGAAAACATTTCTTTTCAAAATATGGACATATTATTTAACATACACAGCATTTGATACATTGCTTGTTTGACGTTATGCTCTAAATGATCAGTACTGTATGTGGGATCCTTTTGTTTGTTTAATTGTAGCGTCATTCGTATGATTAGGACTTCATTTTAGATTTCTTGTCTGCTGTCAACTCTGTTGTGCAAAATAAGTAACATAATTCTCCTCATGGGGGTTAAAGAGACCTTGTTGAGTCATTTTGCTTTTTTGCAAGATTATTGTAGAGAGAAATGGAGTTGGAAGTTATTTAAAGTTCTCTGTAGTTCTCAATGTCATGCCCTTCCATAATAAAGTAATTATTCCTTATTTATTGTGGTTTCTCCTAAAACAAGTTATGCACTAGCAAGGATAGCTTATAGTTCATTTTCCATGCATGCTTTCTACCTTTTGGTTTTCATTCTCCTTCCTCTTCCCTCTTGTTCTCTTGTTTTCTGCTGGAAGTCTGTTGTTTCAAGTACCCTAGTGTTTCTCTAAAGCTAATATGCTCTCATTTGATAATTATTGAGTAACTGATTGGTCCCTGATTTAACTGCACCTATGAATGCACTTGTTTTATGTTTGAATCCTGTTAATTTTCAGGTTCTTATGGGTCCACATTGAGGTACAAGAGCGTGGAGCGAATGAAGCCTATTGGCAAGCATTCTCTTCTGGGTGCAAGTGGAGAAATCAGTGATTTCCAAGAGATTTTGCGTTATCTTGATGAGCTTATGTAAGAATTGACCGAGTCAATAAGATTATTAGTACTTTTGTTTTGGTTATTCTTTCACGAGTTATCTTATTTCTCCCCTGAACTATCATCTGGGTTTTATTGGGAAAATTCTGACATAAAATTGTTGCATTTTGATTTTGATTATGATTATTGTAGCTTGTATGACAATATGTGGGATGATGGCAACTCTTTGGGGCCTAAAGAGGTGCACAATTACTTGACTCGAGTCATGTATAACAGGCGTAACAAATTCAATCCACTGTGGAACTCCCTTGTACTCGGTGGAGTTAAAAATGGACAAAAGTATCTTGGAACTGTAGGTTCAAAGTATTATTATCCTAGTGTTCAGAAATGAGCTACTTGCAGTTTTAAGATTGTAAGTGACCATTTTTATACCTATGATTCATCAGGTCAGTATGATTGGTGTAAACTTTGAGGATAATCATGTTGCAACTGGATTTGGAAATCACCTTGCATGACCAATTCTTCGTCAAGAGTGGCATGAGAACTTGAGCTTCGAAGATGGTGTTAGACTACTGGAGAAGTGCATGCGTGTTCTGCTCTACCGTGATAGATCAGCCATTAACAAGCTTCAGGTTTGATCTCTTCTCTTTTAACGTTTTGACTCCATTTTCATAAAATAATTTTTTATCCATGCTATTTGAAGCAATTTCTAGAAAAATGTGCATGTTCTTCCGGATTTTTGTTTGGTCAATGGTCCATCCAATGGATATATTCGATTTTTATGTATGCAACTTAGGTTGATGTATTTCTACGGTTGGCTCTTAATCAAATCTATTTGTCGATCGATCTCTACATGACAATCTGAGGCAAATTTTAATATTGATGTTTCATTGATTGCAGATAGCTAAGATCACTGAAGAAGGTACGACAATTTCCCAGCCATATTCATTGAAGACCTACTGGGAATTCAATGCTTTCGCAAACCCTGCGCAGGGTGCTGTAGGATCTTGGTAGCTGTAACAAACATTTTATCCCTCTCAGAAACTTCTATGCAATCATATCTAGAGAAACACTAAACAGATTATTTATTGCATGTTTGTCTGGTTGGAACTTGAATTTGAAGCTGATTATCATTTGATTAATGTGACAGCTATGTTTTTTTTTACTTTACTGTTTTTATTTCTTAACTGCCTAGTGGTGTTATCCATTAATGATGAATTAATGGCTAATGGGTCGTATGTTCGTGAACCAAAATTTGAATCAATCAACCTAAAAGATCAGAAACTGCTGCTCACCTTCTGATAATAAATCATAGAACAATGTTGGATCAAACTATATTCATTAGGCACCTCAGTCTGTAAACTGGATATGGACAATGTTTTAGATTGAAATATATCGTTCTGTAGATAACTTTAGGGGGAGGGGGGAAGTGAGGAGACAATTGAATAGATATGTAAACCCGAGGAAAATACCCACACACGATGGAAACTCTATGCACTAGCATTATAACTAAAATTGTGGATCAAAAGAGAAAAAGTCTTCTTTGTTCCTCTGTAGGATTCAATAACCATCTGCAGAATACCCATGCAGCTCCAACCACTGATAACAACGACAGCATTGCTAGAAAACCAAAATGTGAAACATCACTTGCGATTATCGCAACCCCCAACATCAGTGACTCGGCTAAACTTGCAACAGAAATCTCTGTTGTTCCAATAAGATTTGCTTTGGATGATGGGATTCCAGTCTGCAGTATCTGGGCCACAACAATATCATACGACATATGCCCTAACCTCGATAATACCTGCACGTATGAGGTGAGGATGATTCAGGTATCATGCATATGTTAAGCCTGATATTTGTGTTTTAGATGACGATTTTATAAATTGCTATAAAAATTTCCTAAAATGATGCCATATCTCCTGGCCTTCGATAGAGTAACCGATAACTTGTGAGAGACCCTTGGGGAATCTATTAGTCTCTCTTTCTGGTGCTATTAGTGGAGAACTAATATATACTGCTGTCACTGAATCTAAATTTCCGCTAGACCTCCAATGACGATGACAGTGACACACACTCTTAGAGTCATGCTTTTTAGATTTCTAGTTCACCATGGCAGTTCGGGTTATGCTCTTTCTAGATTCCTAGTTTCCCAAGGCAGTTCAGTTATGCTAAAGTCGATGTAGTCCATGCAGAAAGTCTAAAGATGTTCTTACAATCAAACACAAGAAAACAAGAAGGGGACTCCTGTGGGCAAGAGATCCACTCTGGTAAACAGCTACAGCTATGGTGAGAAGTGAAGCCTGAAAAATCAATCCAACTGCTCCGGCCTGTTTGAATGGAAATATGGTCAATCAGCCCCAAAATAGAAAATTCCAGCAGACAAAACCAAACCAAGAGCCAACCTTTAAAATGCCGAATCTCCTGACCAAAGTTGCAGATATGAAGGTTGCTGCAACACCCATAAAAGCACATAATCCACTAAATCCCCCGATAATAGATGGATTTAGACCTGTTAATCAAACTCAAATAGCACTTTGGAGTAAAAAATTAATAGTAATCTAGCAAATGAAGGAAAAAAAGACTTTAATTTACAATCAACCACACAATATGGAGCGTCTTCAGGCATAACAGTGCACGCAATACTTCAAAGATCAAATTTAGAAAAACTCCATTAGCATGTCCTCTGAATAATTATAATTTTAAGACCCATTCGCTGTAGTAAATTTTTCCCGTTAGTTATCTTTCCAAAGTTCTCAAGAGTGGGTCCAAACTATAAACAACCAGTATATTTGCATGGAAATAGATAGAAAAATACCACGCTGAGTTAAAAATGCCGTCATTAAACTTCCCGGAGTAAGAACAACATTGAAGTAGAGGAGCACAAAAGCTAGGCTTGCCGGAAGGACTGGCTGTTGTATGTATTCTCTCCATCCATGCTTGATAGCTTCCAAACCTGTATTAACTGGTCATCCACAAAACAGAATCACTTAATATAGCAAATATAAATCAAATTTTGAGAATGATGCAACCGCTAAATAGAGCAAGAATAAAGTTGGGATTTTAATAGTAGTCAGATGAACAAGTTTTACCAAAGTTATCAGAATCTGGAAGCGGCCCCTCGTCAGACGACATGCAACAGGATTGTGAACACTTAGCACGGTCAAGGACTCCAGTAGAAAGTTTGTTCGTTAACCATGTCAGAGCAATCTGAAGAATGTTGTTAAAAATTAGAAGAGGAAGTAGATCCTTTCTCTAAATAATATAGATAATCAGAACAAGAGTATAAGCAATTACCATAACAGGCAATGACCACATCATCAGCCCAGCAGCAAACTTTAAGCACTTCACTGGATCATATTTGGAGAGAAGAATTCCAAATAATGAAGTGCCAGCTATCTGCAATTACGGATGATAATGACTCTCTCGTTCAGAAATTTCTTATGTAACTCGATTGCTAAGGTAACTGTAAGCTTATAAAATTTCCAGCTTTTATTTAGGATTCACGCTCTATGGATTACAAGCAAACCAAGAAATGGCTTGAACCAAAAAAGATTACGCCATGGTCCAATGTTAACAAAATATAAAAGATCTTAAGATTATCAAATACCTCACAGAGCAGGTCAATTCGATTGAGAACAGCATTTGCTTGAGCCAGTGCAATCGGTCTATTTATCCCAGCTAACTGCAAAAACAAGAACTCTAGTTTAATCCACGGTCCACTTTCCTAGAGATGAGTGACAAAAGGTTTCCGAGAAGAAAACAACCAAAATGCACGGAATAGTATTACCAGCACAACCCAGTCACGCTCCATGGCAACCCCCAGTGCCACTCCAGATAGCCTCTCAATAGCTCCTGCTAACACTAGCACAGCAAACCAAGGACGTAGAAGAATAGAAGAGGCAGGAGTACAAGAAACTGTATGAGCATGAATTATCATCGCCGCTGACAACAACTGAGTGGAAGCCTTGCAGATGCCAAAAAATTTAGAAATAAATTAGGACAGTGTCAAGTATGCATTAATCTAGAAAAAAGGAAAGGTTATTTGTAGTACCTGAACAACATTCAAAAGGATATATGAAGGTACTCTTGGAGAATGATCCATAAGTTTGCCAACCAAAGGGCCTCCAATGATGATAACAAGCTATTAACAAATCTTCCGTGAGAAAGTATTCCATTATTTCTTGTTATATGTAATGAATTTATGTTGCTGGACTAATCTATACCTTAGTGAAGAATCCCATGACAGCCACTGGTAGAAGGCTCCGATGAAGCAGCGCAATAGCAGAAGGCCAAGCAAAATTCCAAAGCTGTTCCACTACATTCCCAGCCAGGCAACTTGCATAAAATGCTGAAACATGAATGTCTTTAAAGTTAGCAGCCGATAATACCGCAATTTAGTAAAATGATAGAACAAGATACAAAAGTACAAGACATTATAGTTGATGTAAACAAATTTGGCTCATTTGAGATAATGTGTTGAAATGACACAGTGTAGCAACTTTCAGAACTTGAAGATATACGATCAAGGAAAAAATAGGTTAATTGTGATCTAAATGACAACTCGAAAGAAACCCAATCCCTAAACCACAAGGAGTGCAGAGGGATACAACAACTAAACTTCTTAACACACTGCTAAGTTCTTACGGCTTAAAGAACAAAACAGAATCCGTTTAAGTCTTTAGGAGTATAAGAGCTATTCCACTTTCCTATAAAATGAAAATAGAATGTCCTACCATATAATGCCTCTGGGTGAGCTGGAGTTCCATCAAGAGCTTTCTGTTCCTCCTCTGATAATACCTAAACAAAAGGAAAATGTTAGAGGATATTAAACTCGAGTTGAAAAGAAACCGATATATGAAGAGGAACATACTGGGATTGTTGTCAAGAGACTATCTACATAAGTATCCCCTGTCAGTATGTTCAAAGATTCAGTCTGAAGAACATCAGATTTAAGCTGAACTATTGGAGTTGTAATTGTACAAGAACAATCACTACTTTTTGAATGTAAACCCTCATCCTCGGCAATCACATGGTTGAAGTGTACATCAGTATTTATTATTGAACATCTCGATTTGAAGCTGTCAAAACTATGACTAAACCACCCAAAAAAAAAAGATGTTAGCTGCCTCACTAAACAGTTCTTTTAGAACAAATTGCAGACTAATTCAACCTTGAACCACATGTCCTTAAAACAATAAGACATTGCATCAAAATTACAATTGCCAAAACAAATTTAGAGAACCCAATTAAACAGTTACCTATTAGTAGTGGAAGGGGAGCTGAGATTCAACCATCGGCTAGAAAAGAAGCGATGGCGAATTCCACAAGCAACTTGTTTCGATATAAAGGCTTCTCTTCTGGAAACAGAGAAGTTAAACAAATTGAAAGAGAGCCGAGAGTTTGTGACCGCCACCATTGCCATGGCTGTTGCTTATTTAACTTCTTATCACTCCAGAATTTGAAGCACCGATAATCACTTTTGACTTGTTCTAAACTCATGCAGCTTTGAAGAAACAAATCGAGAATCACATTAAGTAGCAAATTTGGGTTCAGTTAGATAGCAAATGCTATCTGGGTTTAACTTCAAACGAGTCGCAAAGAAACAAAAGTTTGGAACTTTTAACAATTCATAAAAAGAGGAAGCTTTCTTGTGTGAAATGGAACTGGTTCAGGTTCTAGATAACGAAAACAATCTGATAATGGTATATAGCCTTTGGGTTCTTTGTTATTGGTGAAGCACAATGAAGGGTTTGGGAAAGCAGAGTTGTTAACAACGTGGAGGCTTATCCTATGAGAGTACGAATTTCTGTGGAAGAGTCCGGCGGTCAGCGGAGAGGCGTAAGGGAAAGGTGGGGAACATTGTGCTGTGTGGCCATTAGATTTGCTGGGTGGCGCCAGGCTTGTGATTGTGGGTCCATTACAAAGCTAGATTCTTTATTGATTTTTTGCCAAGTTTCCATTTTTCCTTTGCCTAATAACAATCAGCGTAAATATATCAACGCTACGTCGCCTTTGCAAAATATTTTTTAGAAAATATTTTTTTAAATAAATTATATTTTCAAAAAAATATTTTTTAGAAAATATTTTATGTTGATTGAAAGAGAAGATGGTGTGTAAAATATTTTTTACTAGTTGATAAATTTTTAAAATTATTTATTATAAATATTAAGTACAATAAATAATATTATTTATCATAAAACTTAATATTATTATTTTTAAAATATTAAAATAATTTATTTAGGTATTATTAAAATGTTATTTCTATAATTTTATTAATAAACATATTAATATTAGTACATATTGAAATAAAAATATTATAAATTATATTAATTATTTATTAAAGTGATAGTATCGTATTATATTTTAAAAATATTAATTATAATATATTTTAAATATCTTTATTAAAATATTATTAGATTATTAGATTAATATTAAATACATAAATAATATTATTCATTATTAATAATTTATTATATTATTAAAATAAAAATATAATATCTTATATTATTATAATATAATTGAGTGTTTTATTACGATATTAAATAATATAATATTATATTATTAGAAATATTAATAAATATATTTTAAATATTTTAACAATTAATATTTTGATTAAATGATATTAAAATATTTTATTAGTATTAAATTTATAAGATAAAATTATTTTGAGTATTTATTCTTTGAAGTGAAAAGTTAGGAAAATGTCTTACGAAAAATCAGATCATAAGTCATTTTCCATAAAACATAAAGGAAATTTTATTGACCAATAAAATGTTTTACGTTAACGAACCAGTTTTCCTCTAACCAAACACTAGAAAATGAGATTTAAATTCTCACATTGACCAAGCAAACCTTTGAATTTTTTTTCCATTTACTCAATTTATTGAATTATTTCATGAAATATGACGGTTGAATGGATTGTTTAAATTTTTAATATATATTTTATTAATTTTTCATTGTTTATTCAATTATTATTAAATTGATGATTTAATTATTTGAATTGAACTTCATCAAGTTATCTCTTAATCAAAGATACTATTATTGTCCCCAAACAATTGATAAAGTATCTTCGTATTATTAATAATTAAGAATATATTTAAACAATTTAAATACTAATATTCAATCACTCTATAAATAATAATATTTTTTTACCATTGAGAAAAGTTATTTTATTTTAATCACTTCACGTTATCACATGATAAATAACACTAAAATGATATTATTTTTAAAATAAGTCAATTTTGTATTAAAATAATATTATTTTAGATCCTTATAAAACTCAAATTTTCCACACAAAAAAATCATTTTCACTATTTTCTTCTTCTTTTTTTCTTTTCATTTTCTCTTCATCTATCCATATTCTTGTCTATGTTCATTGTAATCGACAACTGCTAATCATCATCGATGACAGTTAATGAGTCTCAAAATTTCCCATTAAACTTCACGCTATTGTCCGTTTAACCAGAAATCACTACACAATCTAAGAACGTTGTTTTTCACTGTTTCCTTCGCCTCTCACTATTGGAATCTTCCAACAAATTGACAAAACTTCAGGATGATTTTGTGGTGGATTAGGGCTACCTTGTTCTTTATTTTCTCCATACACTCCGCCTCTGCTTCTCTAACTCTTCCTTGTCATTATCAACTCGTGTTTTCTGGAGGTTGTTTTGATTGGTCCATCCTCTGAAATTGATGTTAGGGTTCCAAATTCCAATGGTGTTATAGATCCTGCAAATGGAACTTTGAATTGGACGTGTTCTTTTTAAAATGTTGGGATTTCCTTCGTTTAGATTTAGGTAACTTTATTAGCTTAACGATTCTCCAACTTGTTGAGAGAACAAAGTCTAGAATCAATTCAATTTGTATGTGATGGAGGATAACGGTGGGCAAGATTTCAATTTGAAAGTGAGGCCACTACGATGTTTAGCTCCAATATTCCCTCCTGCATGAAAAATCATTTCATGATCTCGACTCATCACGTCATTCATAAACTCAGTTAATCATATCTATTAATTTTAAAATAATTTTAAATAATTATCAATTCTTTATTTACACATAAAAAAATGAAAATTCACTTAGATATATCTAATAATTTTTACGCCCGCACTATGCTTCTCATGATTCTCGTATACCCAAATTGCTATGCCTCTTATAATATAATAAGTTGTATCATCACTTATTTTATCATAATCGAGCGATTAAAATAGAAGTAATTCAAAAGTTGAATGATTAAAATAAATTTTTTTAGTAACTACAATAAGAATGAGAGTAAGAGTAAAATTGAGTGATAAAATTTTGTAATTTACCCTAAATGAAAAGAGTGATCGCTCCTCCCTCCTCCCTCCCTCCCTGTGGATAAAGCACCAGTTATTCAGGGCCTAAAATGAAAATTCAGCAGAAGGCAGTGTCTTTTTTCTCCACCACTTGTATTTTTAAACCCCATATATCATTTTCAGCGCACTACAAGGACCGAAAAAAAGGAAAAAAAAATTTTGACAAAAAAAAGGGAGTTGACCTATGGCCATGAGACTGCTAACAACTCCAAGTGCTCTATCTCACCCAACAAAGCTCTTCTTCGTTTCATCGCCAAAACCCAGCTCAAGAGCAAGCTCCATCTTTCAACCAAGACCCTTGTGCAGAGTTTTCACGAGGAAAATGGTGGTCACGGCATGTGTAAAGGTGGAGGAAGCGAACGTGAAAGAAACTGCTAAACAAGAATGGGGCAAGGTGTCGGCAGTGTTTTTTGACATGGATGGTGTGTTGTGCAATAGTGAGAACCCTTCTAGGAAGGCAGCTGTTGATGTTTTTGCAGAAATAGGTGTCCAATGCACTGCCGAGGACTTTGCTCCTTTCACTGGAATGGGTAAAAATTTTAGCTTGAAATCATCCCTTGCTATTGCTTTAAGCTTCTCCTGTTATGGATAGTCTTACTTAAAATTTGAGGAAGGTAGGTGATTAATTATGTGGTGCTTATTAAAAAAAAGGCAAAGGTATTTCAAAACGTTCTTTGTAAATATGTTAATCTGCAATCTTACTTGCATTTTTCTACTTTACTGATATGCTAGGTGAAGCAAACTTTTTAGGGGGCGTTGCTAATGTGAAAGGTGTTAAAGAATTTGACACTGAGGCAGCAAAAAAGAGATTCTTTGAGATATATCTGGATAAGGTAATTAGCCCTTGGTTTTTATATTGAGATTTATAGTCTCTTGCTATGAATGGAAAATCATAAAATGCTGATTTTCTGTGTTTTTCGATGAACAAAATTTCACACGACATGTTATTTCCTTCTCCTAGTATGCAAAACCAAATTCTGGAATAGGATTCCCAGGTGCTCTTGAGCTCATTACTCAGGTATTTAATCCAATCATCACATGTGAGAATGAGATAATGATGTCACATCGGATTTATGGCCATATGATGGAGTATTCTGTTTGACAGTGTAAAAACAAAGGTTTAAAAGTCGCTGTTGCATCCAGTGCTGATCGTGTCAAGGTTGATGCTAACTTAGCTGCAGCCGGATTGTCAATTTCAATGTAAGCCAACTTAATATAGTTGTTTCAACGCATATATTGATTGTATATTTTTCAATTTTTAGCTTTGCAGCGTAAATCTTTTTGTTTTTTCTTATCATGGCTCTACCCTTTTTGTACCAGGTTCGATGCTATTGTGTCAGCAGATGCTTTCGAGAATCTGAAACCTGCTCCGGATATTTTCTTAGCTGCGTCAAAGATATTAGATGTTTCCCCTGAAGAGGTATACCGAATTCCCTCCCTTCTACAAATTGAAACAACTTCCTTCCTACTCATTTACCAAAGAAGAATGGTGATTCTGCTCTTTACATTTTGCAAATTTTATTTGTATTTCTGTGAAAGAGAATGCATTTTTCTTCTTTATGTGCCAAAATGTATTAAAACCTTTCCGATGTTGCCATGTTTCATGCTCTTATCATACTTCCCATTTCTCTCATGGACGGTACCACTGTAGAATTTTGACAGCTTTATTACTTGGTTGGACAATTTCATATACTTGCTATATTAATACTGCAGAGCTTCAGTTGTTAGAACTCTTTGTTTCTTAAATCGGCATTTTAGTTTGTCTGCCAAGGAATGTGACATCTATCTATCATTCGCCAGTGTATTGTTATTGAAGATGCTGTGGCTGGAATACAGGCAGCTAATGCAGCAAATATGAGGTAAATGATCATACATGCATGTTTGTTTCAATTTACTTATGCCTTTTTTAATAACATTTTCAACTTAGGTGAAAGAAATGATTTGCATACAGGATTAATATGTATCATCAAAATCATCAACTTTCCCTTTTCTTAACATGCTAAATTAGTCTTTCAGGTTGTGTTTTTCAACCATTTGCTTCTCTCATCATACATAAATGAAGCAAGTTCATAGTAAATTCTAATCATTCTCCACTGGCTGCAGATGCATAGCTGTGACTACTACTTTGAGAGAAGAGGCTCTAAAAGCTGTCGGTCCATCATTTATCAGAAATGATATAGGAAGTATTTCGCTTGATGATATTCTCAGTGGCGGCTCGGGTGGTTATAGTCTGTAGTCCTGAGAATATGCTTCTAATGTCATTTTATACAATCAACGTTGTAAAACGGTGATGCTTTTTAGTGTTCTATTTTTTAAGATAAACTCTTGTAATGGGATCCTATGTAGTGGGAAATTTTCAATTCTATTGATAAAGTCCATCCTTGTGCACTAAGAAGCTGGATTACTAAATTTTTATCTTGAATTTGATGAAATGTCGCGTAAAATGCTCACGTCTGATGAAATTATTGGGGCGTGTAGATTTTGGCATATAAGGTACTAATAAAAACATTTGAGCTGTTATTATGGTTTTGCTGCTTTCTGAATCATCAGGGATCGTTTAAGCAGAAAATGGTAATGCTCTTTTCCTTGTATGTAACTTATCTTTTTAACGTTATCATTTTTTAAATGAAATTCGATACAAACGTATGGAATTCTAAAGATGTTTAACTTCTCAGAGGTAGCTTCAGTAATGTGTATATAGTTTGAGGGTTGAGCTGGACATCGCATGAAATGATGCATTCTCCTTCGTATGAAGATCCCATGGCATGACTAACCCTGGAATTCGGTGTAGAGTTCTTATTTCCTACTGATTTGTAGGAAATTTTTTTATTGCTGATATAAACAACAGTGCTGAAATCCTTTATTTTAGAACTCAAAAGGAGTTCATCTTCCTACACCAAATTTCAAATCTTTTAGATGCCTTAGGGGGCGATCATCGGCCGACACACAGACCATTGTTGTTAATGGCGGTTCATCCAGTGCGGGGGCTTACATCTCAACATATCATTACTAGAAGAGTATCGTTTCTTCAAGGTCTCTTCATCCGTCTCTCTGCCATAGCTACACCAAAGTGATGCACACATAAATCGCTGAAGGGTCTAACACCTTCTTTACCTTTATTTTCTCCAAACTTTATCATGTTAAAACAGTAGCATTGCCATCTAAGAATATTCCTTGATGTTCTCATTCCTAATACCAATTGCAGGAAGCACAGAGTAAATTCACCGTCGACGTAAAACCCTGAAATGCTGCGTCTATTGATCCCTTGGATGGTGTCGTAACCGTCTTTCGGTTGGACCCGGAATTGGGCTTCGACTTGAAATAATTGGGTTAGAGTCGCCACCGATCATTTTAAAATGATATTTAGGTAGATCGGACACCATCTTACCTGATATGCGTTGTACCAAAAACGTGTCGAGTTCGGGAGTCGGTTACGGTCAAGGAAGGATTAGCACCCTTGAACCGCCCTTTCGGTACCAATTAATTTGCCGATTGTCTTTGATTGCGAAAATTAAAAATTTAAATTTAAATTTAAAATATTCGATTCGAATTACTTACCTCTGATTGGTTGGAATTACTACTGAAAAAAAGTTAAAAATATTTGATTCAAACATACTCAATTTCAACATCATGCATCAAAATTATTATTCAAATTCTTAATCAATGCCAAAAGAGAGATAATTATTGAATCATCAAATTATTTCCCTATAGTCCAACTACGAATAAGAATAATTAATGTGAGTGTCTAGGTGTCAAAATTAAAGTCAATTAAAACCAATTAATAAATAATATGAGTTTAAAACTAATTATCCAAACTGACAAAGCAATTAATCAATTAACAAAATGTTCCAAAAATTTTGATCTAATTATTAATAACTTATTAACAAACATGGAAACTAATCACGTTAGTCTACCCCCATTAAAACAATTAACGTCTGAATTAACCAAATTAATACCATAATTAAAACCTCCATCAAAACATGGAGCTTAATGGCAATCAATGGTCACGTTTTCTTCATGCAAGTAATTCAGGGAATACAAAAAACACCAAATCATGAATTCAAAGAAAATTAAAATTAATTAAACTAATTATGGAAGTTAAAGCCTGCGTATTATACAAAGAAGAAGTCACGTTTGTTACCAATTAATTAACTAAATCAAATTACGATTATTGGTAAAATTAAACTAATTAAACTTCGGCTAATGTTTTAATTACCAATTAATACCATAAAAACTAAAATCAAGAAAATGAGATCAATCATGCTAGCCAAGAAGAGATGGAAATCACGTTTTAAACAAATGAACCAGGGAATGCAAAGCCATAAATTATGATTTTCTTGTCTTGTTTAATGAAGATAATGCAGATTTTAATTATTCCAATGCATAAAAAAAGCCAATACAGAATTTGATCATCCTACCCAAGGAAATAAATTAAGCCACGCTCGTTACAAGCACTTTCACCGAATTTGAAAGCATTCAACCATCAACCATGCAAACTCCAAAATTGTGCTGATACAATGAAAACAGTTTCGGTTCTGTTACCTTCTTCCAGTTAAAAAATTTGCTGTTGAATGTTGGTTCGCCCGAGATTTGAAGATTTACTTGCCGGCTTGATGCTTTGGCATTCTACTCCCCATGATTCATGGAGCTTTTCCTTTTCTCTTTTCGCAGGTTTTTCTTCTCCAAGAATTTTCCTCCCCTTTACAAGGTGTGAAGATGGGTTTAAATAGGGATATATGAGAGATGATGGTGAAAGTTCAAATTTTATGGGACTCTTGGGGAAGTTGAGTTGTAGTGGGATATTGGATTCCATGGGATAAGGTTGTTTTTAGTTTAAAGGATGTGGTGGTGGAAGAGTCCTCCTAGGAGATGAACTCTAGTTAATTTTCTTTTTATGTCTATTTTTTTGGAGGAAAAAATAATAAGAAAATGAGTGTCTACAGCTGCCCCTCTTTGTCCTTTTTCGTGGAACGAAAAAATAGGACAAAGATAAAATGACACGAATTTTCGTTCGGTGGAGTTGACTCTGATGTTTCTATAACTCTCTGTCGAATTGAGTTGTGAATGACTCTTTCGTTGTGAATGACTCTTTCGTTGCGAATTTGAGTCCATATTGAAACGAAATTGAAGCTGCAGTTCAGAATTTGAATCAGAATGTGACTTCTTATTGCCAAACTGTAATCCGCTTTGGTATTCTTCTTGATTGAAAGACATTGGTTTGAGAATTCAACTGAAAAATCATTCTTTGACTCCACCATATGGTTGATAGGCCCTTGAGCTGACTGAAATCGAACCCGAAAGGTCTTCATTGATAGATAGCTTTTCACGACTTAAGCTATGCTGCCGGAAAAACGATTTATTGTCACTAAGGCACGGTTAACTCATGTCTTCTTCTCGACTTGAAAACCTTGATTGTAGCCGAACAGTAGTGTGGTTGGGGTGTCATCGAGCTGAATGGAACCGAACTCGACAATTTTATTGACAAATAGCCCTTCTTGCCTTGAGCTATGTTGTAAATGATATGACCTCGAAGTTGAGTGTAATCGAACTCGGGGGTCTTTGGTAGATAGCTCTTCTCGACTTAAGTTGTGCTACAAATGATATGCCTTGGAGCTGAGCGTAGTCAAACTCGAAGGTCTTTGGTTGGCAGACAACCCTTCTCGACTTCAGGTATGCTGCAAATGATGTGCCCTCGAAGCTGAGTGTAATCAAACTCGGGGGTCTTTGGCAGATAGCCCTTCTCGACTTAAGTTATACTGGAAATGATGTGTCGTTGAGCTGAGCGTAGTCGAACTCAAAGGACTTTTGGTCACAGATAACACTTCTATCCTTGAGTTATGCTGTAAATGATGTGCCCTCGAAGCTGAGTGTAATTGAACTCGGGGGTCTTTGGCAGATAGCCCTTCTCGACTTAAGCTATGCTGCAAATGATGTGTCGTTGAGCTGAGCATAGTCGAACTCAAAGGTCTTTTGTTGACAGACAACCCTTCTAGACTTAAGTTGTGCTGCAAATGATATGCCTTGGAGCTGAGCGTAGTCGAACTCGAAGGTCTTTGGTTGGCAGATAACCCTTCTCGACTTAAGTTATGCTGCAAATGATGTGCCTTGGAGCTGAGCGTAGTCGAACTCGAAGGTCTTTGGTTGGCAGACAACCCTTCTCGACTTCAGTTATGCTGCAAATGATGTGCCGTTGAGCTGAGCGTAGTCAAACTCAAAGGTCTTTTGTTGGCAGACAACCCTTCTAGACTTAAGTTGTGCTGCAAATGATGTGTCGTTGAGCTGAGCGTAGTCGAACTCAAAGGTCTTTTGTTGGCATACAACCCTTCTAGACTTAAGTTGTGCTGCAAATGATATGCCTTAGAGCTGAGTGTAGTCAAACTCGAAGGTCTTTTGGTCACAGATAACCCTTCTAGCCTTGAGTTATGCTGTAAATGAGGTGCCTTGGAGCTGAACGTAGTCGAACTCGAAGGTCTTTGGTTGGCAGATAACCCTTCTTAACTTAAGTTATGCTGCAAATGATGTGCCGTTGAGCTGAGCGTAGTCGAACTCAAAGGTCTTTTGTTGGCAGACAACCCTTCTAGACTTAAGTTGTGTTGCAAATGATGTGCCGTTAAGCTGAGCGTAGTCGAACTCAAAGGTCTTTTGTTGGCAGACAACCCTTCTAGACTTAAGTTGTGCTACAAATGATATGCCTTAAAGCTGAGTGTAGTCGAACTCGAAGGTCTTTTGGTCACAGATAACCCTTCTAGCCTTGAGTTATGCTGTAAATGATATGCCCTCGAAGCTGAGTGTAATCGAACTCGGGGGTCTTTGGCAGATAGCCCTTCTCGACTTAAGCTATGCTACAAATGATGTGCCTTGGAGCTGAGCGTAGTCGAACTCAAAGGTCTTTGGTTAGCAGATAACCCTTCTCGACTTAAGTTATGCTGCAAATGATGTGCCCTCGAAGCTGAGTGTAATCGAACTCAAAGGTCTTTTGGTGACAGATAACCCTTCTAGCCTTGAGTTATGCTGTAAATGATGTGCCCTCGAAGATGAGTGTAATCGAACTCGAAGGTCTTTGGCAGATAGCCCTTCTCGACTTAAGCTATGCTGCAAATGATGTGCCTTGGAGCTGAGCGTAGTCGAACTCGAAGGTCTTTGGTTGGCAGATAACCCTTCTCGACTTGAGTTATGCTGCAAATGATATGCCCTCGAAGCTGAGTGTAATCGAACTCAAAGGTCTTTTGGTGACAGATAACCCTTCTAGCCTTGAGTTATGCTGTAAATGATGTGCCCTCGAAGCTGAGTGTAATCAAACTCGAAGGTCTTTGGCAGATAGCCCTTCTCGACTTAAGCTATGCTGCAAATGATGTGCCTTGGAGCTGAGCGTAGTCGAACTCGAAGGTCTTT